TACAGCTCTGTCACACCCCTGTGTAATACAAAAGGCTTTGGGTCTGTAAAAACACCTCAGAAACATCAACAGAGATTTGTGCAGAGAGCAGGAATAGCATCATATGATTTCTTTTTCTTGATATCTTCAGGGTTCAAGTGTGCTCCACACTACATAATATCGGCGGAGGTCATTTCTATTTATCATGAGCTACAAAATCACAGAAGGGCTGAGGCTGGAAGGGACATCTGAAGGTTGTCTGGTAACCTTCTGCTCAAACAAGATCATCTAGAGCTGGTTGCTCAGGGCTATGTCCAGGCAGCTTTTGAATATCTCCAATGACGGAGATTCCACAACCTTTCTGAATATCTAGGAAAACGGGTGCAGAAGTGCTGGCTATTTTGAAAGAGTAAAGTGCACAAGTTTTTAGAATTTTCACCCCATTAGAAGGGCATGCTCTGAAATTAAGACATATTCCAGCAGCATCAATAGGGAGGAACTGAAAGTTAAAGAATCTGCCTACTTAAAGACAGAATTTTACAAAAAGGTAAAACATTTAAGTGTGTCATGCTATTTTCCCGATGTGTCCACCTGATGCTCAAGTGTCTCAGCTTCGGAGCAGGGTAACTAGCCTCTGTAAATTTCCTAAGTACTCCCTACCCTGACTGTTTCTACAGCTTCAGCTTTTCTGTTCCTGTTGTTAAAAGGAACAACCATAGCACTCGTCCTATGAAAAGTGTCCTTCTGTCCTCCAAGACTGGAAGATTTTTCCTCTCTCTTCCAGTATGGATGGACACTAGATACCATACAGTACTGCAGAACAGTGGCATCTCATACTTTACTCTTCTTAACTGTTAATCTTTAAATAGTTGAATTCTTATTTGATATATTGTATATCTCACCTAACATGTTTCAAACTTGGAATTTTATGCTGATATCTTTTTTTCTAAGTCTAGCAAAACACAGTGATGTATGTGCAAATTGTATGTCATAAAGACTAGTTAAGATGCAGGCTTCCTTTATTATTCGTAATGCACAGTCTTGTGCAAGCTTTGCACAAGGCTTACAAATAATATATGAAGAGAACAAAAGCTTGCTCTGAGGACGGACTTGCTGACTGAATGCAACCTACTCTTCCTGCTTAGCAATACTGCTGGGATGCATTCACAGAAAAGCTGCTATTTTTTAACCAGCTGACTTCTATCCCTTTTGCACCCAATACCCTCCTTAAGATCTACATCTTTCAGGCAGTCCTCAAAACACAAGAGGGTATTTAAGGATCCTTTCCTCACAAAGAATATTTTTTATTTCCATAATGAAAACATAGTCTTTCTGGGATCTCTTGTGTTAACTGTCATCATCGATTCACGTCTTCATCTCACTTGCAAGCTCTTCAGAACGTGAGACAGGAATGGGCCCCAGCTGCACGCACTGCTGGCAGCATGGCCATGCTGGCTTTGCTGAGGCCAACACATTGCTTCAACAATGCTTTCTTGGATTGCCTTGTTTCCTCATTGGTGTGTATGGGCAGGGCTTTTGAATTCAGAGCACAGCCTGCACATCAGTACGAGAAAAATCTGTGGGTTAATTCCTACCCAGAACAGCTAGGTTTCTAGTTGGAACTTGATGATCTTAAGGTCCTTTCTAACTCTAACTATTCTATGATTCTATGATTCTATAACCTGTACTTCCAAAATTGCCTGTGTTGAACAGGTAGCTTGGTTTCATACAAAGAGGCGAGATCTTGCTTTACAAGGTGCATAAGAAATGAAACTCCGAAAGAAGCCAGGCTAGCAAAGTATCCTTCTTCACTGACTTCTGCGGCTGAAACATGTGCGGTTTGTGTGTGCAGGTTCCTGGTACGGCTCAGCTCTTTCTCGAGAGGGAAGTGGCTTTGGTCAAGGCTGGTCACTTTTAGAAAGTTCACTAGCTCAGACAGGTTCTGTGTGTTCAGCACAGAGCCCAGGATGGAGGTTTGTGCCCAGGGCCATGAGTTGCATGAGTGAGGGGCTGCACTGCTTCTGCATCCTGGGTGGTCTCAGGGAATATCATCCTGTCACATCCAGGCTGGTTCTACCACATTTATGTTACTTCAGGTCACTGGCAACTAACGAAAACTTCGTTGTAACAGAGTGCTCCTATTTTTAAAACCACAGTTTAATCACAAAAAGCAGCTGCAGCTAAACTGAGGTTTAAAAACAAAGCAGACCATATCACAATGGGAGGATGCTAAAGCAAAGCGCTCATTGTACGTATCGATTACCACTATCCATCTATTCTGATCTAGTGTACACTACTGCCCCCATAGATTATTTGCTGTCTCTTTCAAGACATGTAACAGTGAAGGCATTTCCCTCATTTTGCAGACTTTGGCTACAAAGTCGTAAATTTTCTTTACACAGTAAGCAAATTATTCACTTCACTGAATTGTTCTTGGCAATCACCTTTAAGAACAGTGGCAACGTTTGCTGTGACATGCCATATGTGTCTGTGACTGCCTAGTCTTTGGTCTTTGCACATTTGACAAAATAAGCACAGTGGCAATGAACAGCAAGGAGAGCATCTCAGAATTTCATTGCTGTGATGTAGTTTCACCTAGCTACATAGCGAAAGGCAGCACTAACTCTTCAGAAACAGATGACCATTTCCTTTGGCCTTATCATCAACCTTTCAGTGCATCTGTCAGTGGAGCGCATGGGAAGTAATCTTGCAGAAGAAATTCCAACAGAAAGCAGCTGTGTCTGTGAGTAAGAGTATATAGATATAGGTATGAGTAAGAAATATTACCGTATCAATTTCAGAGCTTCACAATCCTCATTTGAGGATCTAGCATCCTCATTTTGGCTGAAAATTGATCTTTTTTCTCCTTGACACAATTTACTACTTGCCTACTCTGCAGTGAATGTTGTGAGCAAATTATTGTCTTTCTCCTAGCACCTACACTTCTGTGCTCATGAAGATTTGTGTCATACCCTTTCTGCTTGTTTTGTTATCTAGGCCAAACAAATTTGGTTCCTTCCAACTTTCTTTGTAGGTCATGCTTTCTACACCATTGGTAACCCATGTTGCTCTTTGGTGCACTTTCTTCCATTGCTCAGTGGCTCTCCTGAAGTACCAAAACTGGGCTTCGTTCTGCACTTGGGTTTCAACAGTACTGAGAGGAATTATGCAGCACCAGAGCGTAATCAACACTCCTGCTTTTACACTCTGGGATAATGCTCCTTTTTTTCTAAGTATGATGATTACTTTTTAACTTGCCTTTAGGCTGTTATCCCCTCTATGATGTGTTTTCTGCAGGGCAGTTGCTAACAAATGTCCTCTGCTCTGTACTTCGGCAATTGCTTTATTGTGTAGAATTGTTCATTTGTTAAATTGCTGTTGGCTTTGGGCTTCTAAAAAGCAGCTCCAACTTTTAAGAGTTCATTTCTATTCTCCTTTTGTACTCCAACTCCTTGTGTTTCAGTCTCCCTGTGCTGGAATTGCTACCTCTATCCCGTTATGTAATCAGGAGTTTTACTCACCGAAAGTTTCCTGTGAAGGTGGAGAGCATGGGGACACCTTGCAAGTATCTGGAAGACTATAAAACAACTGAGTTTACACAGGAAGGTTTTCTTAGCTTTCCACAAGTGAAGAAAGTTGGTGCAGATGGAAACACAGAAAGGTCAGCTTCAACAGGACAAAGTTAATAATCCCCCTTTCCCATACTGTGGAAACCAGAATATCACGAATGTCTGTTCCTTTTCTCTGAGTCAAACCACCAAAGCCTTGGCCTTTACCTTCTCTGAGGTGGAACTGAGCTACTTCCCAAGTCCCAAGTCACAAGCTGGGTGTCATTTCTAGCCACAACCTTAACCATTAATACCAACAGGAGTTCAGAATAGCTAAGGAAATGGTCAGAGGTCTTTCCAACAGAATACAATGCACTTCCAGGAGTCCAAGACATATAGGGGCCTCATATAAAGCTAGCTGTATCTCCTTAAGTGTAACTTCACAACAGCTCCTGCCCATCTACAAGGAGCAGGCTCTACTGCCACAGGGTGCTCTCTTTCCACTGTGCTGATCTTCCCCCATCTGTCAGTGTTTTCATTGATGCATCCTTGTTGACCCCTCAGCCCTGAGAAGTTTTAGGTCTCTAATCCTTGGGTAGTGTATTCTGTCCTAGCCTTGCTAGAACCAACTACTGTTATCTTAACACCTTTGAAGCATTAATCTGAGACACAATTTCTGTGTTGTTCTTTTCCCTTCTTGTTCTTCTCCATGTTTTTTGCAGTTCCTGTGGACTCAGTTCAAGGCATTCAGCCATGTGATGGTGCAAAATTAGAGAAGAAAAAAGAACCACAAATAGATTCAGACAAAAATACCATAAAATTTCGAGTCTGACACCCACCATTTGCCAGTTCAGTGGTTTGTATCTGCTACTGTTCCCTGGAGATTAACATGCAAGCAAATGCAGGCTGATATTCACTCTTTCTACCAAAGTTTGCATATCTACTGCCATGAAACCTGAGCACAGAGCATCAAGAGTCGCAACATATAAGTTATACATTCTTCTGCCTCCGTATTTGCTTTCTGAACTTCCCCTACCGCAGATATAAAACCAAAACAGCCAACCAAACTCTCCACTGCCACCGTAAATATTTCTGTGGGGAACTGCTCTTAATGTAGTTCATTAATTTTACAGAAAGTCATGTCGGGGGGAATGTGTCTACAGCTGCATCCTGACTTTCTGCAGATCACAACCTGTAAAGATCAGTCCATTTCCCTCCAGTGAGCTCGGAGCCATGACCTGATAATTTCAGGCTTTCAAAAATAAAATAGTATGTGCTAAGCTGAAAGCCAGATACACCAGATGGTACCAGTGCCCAAAGTCACCTACAAGTGAAGGCGTCCTCTGTGTCCAGAGGTCCCGCAGACAAGGTGCCATGCTGTAGAAATTAGTTGTGTCAATCTGGTCTAGAGAAAAACATGACACTACAGCCATCAGCAGCACTTTATAAGTAAGGATGAGTTTTGTTTATCACCCCAGAGAGCTTGTCCACACAGCAACTTTCTCTCGTAGTGCACATTTGCCATCACCTTGAAAGTAGAGTTGCTGTGTGTGAGATGGGCTGTAGAAACACATGGTACTCAGCAGGGCATGAGCAGGGATATCACAGCCAATTGCAATCAAAAAGCTCTGAAGATGGTTGCTTCTCTGTCAGAAGTCAATAATTTCCCAAAAGTATTTTGCACTGCATTGATTTTAACAAACAAACAAAATAGAGAAATGATTCACCATCAATTTGTTTTTAATGTTCAAAATAAGTTTTTATTACAGGTTTTAAAATGTGTACTTGTTAGACAAAATAAAAATTGAGTATTTGTTAAAAACAAAACAAAATTGCTGATAACCTTAGGGGTTTTTAAAATCAATTTATTGGGAAATTTTGATTGCTTCAAGTTTGTTCTATCTCTGGTCAGACTTGTCTTCTGATTTTGTGGCAATCTTTGTGAAATGGGAACTCCATTTACTATCTACTCTTGAACTGAGCAGCTGATCAGGCTTTGTTCCTGATTTGTCTGTAAAACCTAACCTGTTGTATTTCTTTACTTTTTAAAAATTGCATTAATTTTATTTCTAAAAGGTAGAACTTTGATGAAATCCTACTGTTTCTTCCTGGTATGTTTTGTATTTGCAATGATAACAAAACCTTCCATATGGGGATTCTTTAATATCATTTAAAAATTACTTCCAACTAAAAGAAGAAAAATAACATTTTCATGACATGTATTGATTTCTTTTGGACAACAGCATGAGTGAATCAGAAGTCATGATGTAATTTTGGTAAAATATTTACTAAAGTACCATGAACTAAAGAAGCATGGGGGTGGAGCTTTCATTGTGATGATAGTCTTTGGTAATGGTTTTGTTGTGAACATTGGCACTTCCCACCGATCAAGTAATACATACATGCCAGATTTTTTAAATGAAATGACCACATCTCAGGTTCAAGAGCTGTTATTCCTTTCCCCAGAGCCGATAAAGCTGTGTTTGGTGAGCTGGATAGGGTCTAGAAATGAATTGTCAAGAAGGTTTGATCTTCCAAAAATTAAATCAAAATGGTGAGATGACCTCAAGTTTCCTTCAAAAGAGGCAATTTTGTCAAAAGACATGGTGCTGTGAACATGCAGTGAGTCCTGAGAGCAGAACCAAGCTCTCAGTGTCTTCCCATTTTTCTTTGCAGGTCTTTTTTTCCCTTTAAATCTATTTTAGGAGCTTCAGTGCACAGTTCCCACCCTGTGACAGCAAAGGAGTCTTTATGTGGTGTAGGCTAGAACAGACTGCAGTGTAGGAGGATGGTGGATCACTGTAGCTTCATATTACAAGCAAATTTAGCAAGTACTTTAAAAAGCCAACATAAGAGATAACATCAATAAAATCATGATCAAAAAAAAGTCTAGAAATATAAATCTGAGGCTTATTTTATTCTAAGAGCATGCCTAAGTGGAGAGACAGGGACTGGGGATGTGGGAAAAGCAAATTATTACAACAGTAAGAAAGAAAGTCAACCCAAATGACTGATTTCCTGGTTGACTCACAGTCTATTACATTAATAGGATCATTTATTAATCTTCAACTAAATCTTCTTTTGCCTTTGTTTTTATTTTAAACTATTTTTAAAGTTTAATGAGTTATGTTACTCATTACGTTAATGAGTTTACCTAGATAAACATGTACCTAATAGGCACCAGTGTGAAGAAAGGGTCCAGACATTATTTATGGCTACTGTGACTATCAATGTTCCAGGAAGGTCTTAAAGGTTTGAGAGGGATGTAATCTTTTCCTCTCCCTGATTCTTAATTCTTACTGCAGGTTAAGTAACTTCCCCAGTGACCCATAACTGCCCAGGAACTGCTGGTTTGTCTGTGAATGAGCAACCTCTCCTGAAAGAGGAAGAAAAGCAAAACCTGCTTTTGTCATTCAGTAGATGGTGCTCTTCCCTTCTCCTGAAGTTACGGCTCATGCTGCTGATGCTTTAGGTGCCATACTTCAGACGTGATTGAAGTCTACAGCTCTTCTACTTCTTGTGCCACCACTGCTTGCTACAAGTCTTGCCAAGATTTGAACATTAACCCCTGTGCCTAAGCCATGCCAGATTTTGCTTACTTCATTTAGATAAAACTTCCTACTTTCTTACCTGAAAAGGACTATGTAAGAACATATGACGATTGGGTCTACTGACATTTTACAGTCAGTCCTCAGGAAACAAACTGTATATGCATTGTGCATGGACTTGATATCTCCCCAGGCATGGAGCTGCTGGTTTTCTTTTGGGGTGCAGTGCTGTTCTGATACGTCCTTTCCACTCAGGCACCAGTACAGACTTATCTCAGCTATCTGGCTTTACAGGACCTACATCTACGTTGGTGGACTTCAAAGGGTCCAAAGGGCGAGTGCCCATGTCCTGGCACTCAGTTTGACTATCCTAATTCCTGACCTGTCCTGGAGCAAGAATTGGACATGCTCCAGCCTGCACCTGGCATACTGAACCTTGATTCCCATCAGAAGTAAACCTGACAGCAGCTGTTCCTGCCAAGTCCTTGATCTGGATTTTGCAGAAATGCTGAAGGCACATTAGAGTATGCATCTCTTGCTCTGTCTGGAGACAACCTGAGGGGTGAGATTTAAAGAGTCAGAAAAGTTGCAATTTAACACTAAGATGGAAGGATCAGAATGTGGCTGCAACTGCTAGCAGGGCTTCCTAATAGGGAAAGGGTTGATTCCTAGGGTGGATACTCTTTATTGAAGAGACAAAGAGGCATTTGGTTCTTGTGGAAAGAAATGTTACTTGTTATATTGTAAGCTTATTTAATTTTGGAACACATTTATGGGCACATGAAGGAGAAGATGACAGGGAAAAGCCAGCTTGCTGAGCTTTGAGTGATAGATCATGCCTGAGCAACCTGATTGCATTGCATATAAGGCAAGAGCCATGAATGTCATTTACACTGACTTTAGCAAGACTTTCAACTGTCTCCCACAGTGGCCTTGCATCCAAGTCTATGAATGTCTGGATGAGCAGACAACTGACAGAGTAAAAACGTAGTTGGAAGACTGTGCTCAAGCAACAGGAGGTACCAGGTTATATTTTACCTGGAGGCAGGTAAGATATACCTGGAGAAATTGCAGAATCTATCCTGGGACCTGTCCTGTTTAACAGCTGGAAGATGTGATTGAGTGCACTGTCATGAAATTTGCAACTGAGCTCAGACTGTGGGCACCACCAATATCCACAAGGGGAGGAATGTCACTCAGAGACACATAGACAGGCAGAAGGAATGGCTGGGCTGATAGGAACCTTATGAAATTCATCAAGGAACAATGCAAAGTCCTGCACCTAGAAAGGAAGAGCCCTTGGCAATGGTGTAGGCTAGGGACAGGCTGGCTGGGAAGCAGTTCTGTGAGGAAGGCCCTAGTGTGCTGGTGGCAGTGAGCTCAACACAAGCCAGCAGCAAGCCCTTGGCAGGAAAGGAAGTTTGGAAGAAGAGATTCCCCATCTTACTGCTGATTTCTGCCACAGAGTTTCTTCTAGCATCACCTAATCCCAGCTGCACCTGCAGGAATGTTTCTAATGTATGCTTGTCTTCTGTTTGGGGTCTGCACAATGCAAGTGTGTGCTCCCCTGAGTCTGCACTGAAGGAAAAAAAGCCAGAAAGTCTATGACAATAATTTCAGACTGATTGCTTTGCAAAAGTAATGATGGAATATTTGAAGTCTTCTGTCTTTGACGTGCTGCACAATAAAGCAATAGAGAAAAGCCATGCTGAAGGTGGGATGCCTCCATCACCATTACAGATGAGACAGTTGATGCTGGAACTATCATATCTTAATCTCTAAAGATATAGACACTCATTACACCCTTATCACACCCTGCAGTCCCAACTAGATTACAGACAGTGGACCTACCTTTATTGTAGCAGAACACACTCTTAGTGAAAAGGCCAGCACACAGGAAGAGATGTGGATCTAGTTTATATGGGTTCCAAACCAGAAACTCACATAGATGCTGAAATTCAGACTGTCAGTCTGGGTTTCATCCAATAAATGAGAAAGGATTCATAGAATGCTTGAAGCAGCAAGCACATATTTTTCTAAGCTGGTTTGCTCATCCCTATTCAGAGGTGAATGTTGGATACAGTTCTGAGTCTAGCAAAAATAGTAAAAATTGTCATCAAAATCAGTATTCATTATGAGCTATTTACTACTCAAAACAAAATGCAGAGTTGATTTTCAAATTCCTTAAATTAATCACTTTTTATTTTGATTTTCTCTTTGTCTCTTGTTTGATATTTACTGTGCCATTCTTTACTAGTGGGATTTAACTCAACAGGATTTTTAAGAAATCCAAGCTTTGAAATATACTTTCCTGCCAAAGCTTGGCTCATTAATATGCTTATCAGTCTTGTACATATTCAAAGTATGTGTCATATAATACAAATCTGAATGTGTTGGTGTCATGGGGTTGAAATATACAATCTTTTTCTTTTTAATGGAGAGCCTTTTCAGAAATGTATTTATGCTGTTGTGTGGTTGTTGTTCTGCCTGTCTCCTGCCAAGCCAGCAGCTGGGGGAGGGCTTCCTGTGCACTTTGAGGTTCTGGTCTTTCCAGCAGGAAAACTCAAGCAACCAATAATACCTTTTCTGATCGTAATCTCAAAGCCCAGCAAGGGCTGATGTTCATCTGTATGGACAAAAAGCCGCAGCATTAAAATGTTTCCCTTTTTTTCCCTTCCCCTCACTTGTCTTTTTGTGTAAAAGTTTACAAATCAGACACCATAAACCATCTCAGAAGACTGACCATTGGAAGTGTTTTCTTACTGTGTATACTTCTGTCAGCTTGGTAAACCTTCAGGCACAGCCTTTGCTGTGGGCTGGACCAAGACCACCTACAGCTCCTGCAGCAAAACAGGAACATACATTTTGCCCACAGGACTCTGACTTTCATCTCCTATTTCTCTCCTTGCTCTGAAACAGTGAAGGCTGATGTATGGAAGGCTGAAGGATGTGCACGTGGCTAGCAAGCTGTCCTGTCACTGTGTGGGTAGGCATGTGTGTGTCCAACACACTTACCATGCACTCTGAAGGGGTTGTTGCCCTGAGGACTTTGGCAATAGGAAGGGGTCCTGGACATCTGGAAGTGAGTGTCCCCCTTTACTTCACATCTGCTAACAAGACCTCCATAGGCACACTCTGAACAACATATAAATAGAAAACCTCCTTCGCTGTGTAGAGAACAGCAACTAGCCAGGCTTCTACCACCATCAGAAACCTTTTGGACAGGTGGAAAATACTGATTCCTCTTTGAGGGCTGAAGAAAATAATAGCTATCTGAATGCCGTGTTATAGTATCAGGTCAGTTTGTACAAAAAGGAGTGATATCAGCTAGATAAATTAGTTACAAGGGACATACTCATAAATGCACTTCCTCTTGCCTTCTAAATTCCTGGATTCTCAGTCTAAAATAAATTTGGCAGAACTTTTTGCTTGAATTAAGAGATGTGTATTTTGCTGCATACTTTTCACACTCATCTGTCACATATTAGCCCTCTATAGTCCACCCCTACTTTCTTTGAATTCCCTGGATATGTACAGAAGGAAACCCCTTTTTCTCACATTTACACTGAACATTGGTAGTGCAGGTCAGGATCCTGGATTACTTCTTTTATTTTTAAACTTAAACTTGCGCTGAACTGACACCAGAAGTTGTTTGGGAGGCAAAACTGGGGAATATTCCAAGGGCAACACTCAAATCCCAGCCACCCATAGCCAGAACAAGCTCTGGTGGGAGTTATGGGTGGTGGATAGAAATGGCTGTGTGCCCTGATGCTTCCCCATCCAGCCCATGGGCAGCTGGGCAGGAGGAGATCCCATCAGACACCAGGCTAAGCCCTTGCTGAACCAGACTGTGCCAGGAGATTCAATCAGGTGCTTGCTTTGCTGTCTTTGCCACACACGTCACACTGAGCTTTTCACCACTTGGGTTATTTCAATCTTTAATTACTGCAAGTAATAGGATTGAAGGGTATTTAGCATATTAGAAAAGATATCTCTAAGTCTGGGTTATTGAACCAGTATTTAACCCAAAAAGGGTTTGAACCAGTAGAGAGTCAAAAATGTCAATGACATAAATTTATGTGTTTATTGATTATTTTCTTAATTTCAGTAATCAGTAAACAGCTGAGCAAATCCAGTTTGCTCTTCCAGACTTGTATTTCTAATTAGAACCAACAAATAGTCAGGAGAACAGCCCAGAGTAGTCACTGATTGAGCCATATAACAGATTTCTAAATAAATAGGCTACTTGGCTCCCTCTGGGAAAGAAGTCAGCTATGTGTCACTCACAGAAAGTGTTACCCTGACAGGTGACAGGAATGGTTTTGGTTTTTCAGCAGAAGCTGAAATTTGTGTAAGTTTATATTTCCTTGAATTCAGAGAAAGAAAACTCTGCAGCCATTTAAGTTCACAATTTGAAACCTGGCATTGGTAGGCTTTGGTAAAGAATGATACGTAAGTTTTCCACAGAAAGGTAAATGAACACAGTTTCAGAACATTCCAGAGATTTGTTATTGTGACTGGTTTGGGTGATACAGTGATTGCTTTTGAAGTTAGGTTGGTTTGGTTAATTTGTTGGGGTTTTTTTTAATACCCTTTGGCTTACACGTGTCCTGCAGAATCCAGCACCTTGTTCTACCAGGTTAAACTGCTGATCTTCCAGAAAGAGAAAATGGTATAAATAGCTGTCAGCAGGGCAGGACAGATAAGTGTGCTATCTGGGATTTCCAGAGATCCTAATGTCAGGCCAATCCTGCAGCACTGATTCAAGGCCGGGGGGTGGGGGGGTGGGGGGGGTGGGGGTGGGAATCCCATTGGCATCAAAATGATTTTTTTCTCAGTAAGGTGCAGTCTGTGACTTCACATCTATGAAATGAGCTTAAGAGTGAAAAAAGGAAAAAAGTCAAACCAAAAAAACCTGTCCACCTTCGAAGACCTTGAAGTAATAATAACTTCTGCACTCCTCACTCTGACAAAATCCAAGCAGGCTTCTTTGCAAAGATGTCCTTAGCTCTGATGTCTTATGACAAATTCTTAAAACAGGAGGGAGTCCTTTGCTCACCATTTGTGGCAAGATTGCAGTGTCTCTGGTACTCCTAGAATCGCAATACAGTTTAAAAGTTCCATCTCATTGCAGCAAAGATGAAGGGCTGTGAGTCAAGAAGCTCTCTTTAGGACACACTAGGGCTCCTGATGGTCCACATTGTAAACCAATGTTTGGTTTGATCTTTAGTATACAATTCTGCATGAGAAAAGAGTGAAGTTCACCATGAACTGCTGACTATTAACAGCATGGAGTTTTAGACACAAGTTTTGATTGCATTTCTTAATGAGTACAACTGTTACCTGACAGCAGTATTTTAAATGAAGAACTGAGAACCACAATAGGGCACACAGCTTTTTCACTGAGCATCTGAAGAGTCTTCATTGTCTTGGGTACAGGGACATTTTTTGAATAAGTGGCTTTTTGTTAATTTGTTTTGTGAGAGTTTAATAAGTTTCTGTGCCCTAATGATCCTTGAAGGCGTCTTTTGGGTTTGTTTCCTACTATATTTATTCTCCATCTTCTTTCTCTGTATCTGGTGTTTCTCAATCTTTAGCTTTGCTGCTGCTGCTGTTACTGGTAGGGAGATTTTGGAAGAGCAAATCCATATGGTCCTCTGCTGAAAATACAAGGACAGAGGAAATACAAATGGACACAAAGAAAAGGGGACAGTGTCTATGAAATCCTCAGATTGTACGAGAAAATGCAAAAAAGTGTAAGAAGATAAAATACTTATTTTCAGGTGGAGGGGTCTAAATAGGGCATAAAATTTTAAGATATCATATAGTATTTTAAGCTAATTGTATCTACTTTGAGATGTCTCAGCCCAAAAGCATCAAAAGAACACTCATCCCTTAGTACCTAAATGTCACGCCTACTATTCAGCTACACAAATTTAAAGTTCACAATATATGTTTCCACTGCATGTTATCATTAACAAGACCAAGACCTACGTGCATTCATTACTCATGGCTATGAGGTACCAAAATGATATAACCATGAAAGGAGTTACTGAAGCTAAAGGACAGCATTGTCACAAGAATATACATATAGGAGCCAGCCATTTATAACAATGACCCTAGGAGATTTCTAAGCATCAAAGCTATGAAGTGCTGATATGCCTTCCTGCAGAATAGTGAGAACTAAAACTCAAATTCCTCTTAAAGACAGCAACTGAATACTTTTGAACTGAATACTGAGGGCATTGCACAGTAATAGGAGAACACACACCCTATGGCCCAGGAAGATCCTTGTGTCATACACACCTTGGAGAAGGGGAGATTCAAGTCCATAGGGCATAAGATACACAGACCAAATTTCTGTCCTTTTTTACTTTCCTTTTCATCTTTCCTTTATCTCCATACCTTTTCACCCCAGTATGACTTTTTGGCACTTTTTACCCCTTCTTTCCTTCTCTATGAGGCAGGAATGTACCTGTCTTGGGGAAAATGAGAAAGTGGAGTAAGCACCAGGAGAACAAATAGAGAGGTGGAAAGATGAAGACAGACTTAATGAAAGTGATCAAGGGCTGTATCTCAGTGTTCTTGGTGATTGTTTCAATCTCAAATTTTGGGGGTTGATTTTTTTTATTTCTCAGTCTCAAAACTTCACTAAAAATTTATTTTTTTTTCTTTGCTCCCCCCCAAAGCCTGAGAGTTTCTGGGCTCTAAAAGTTGATTTTGGATGGCTGGAATTTACCTAGAAAAGCCCCATGAATCCCTCCCCTTCACTGAAGACTTTTTCTTCTCCTGCAGGTGCTTGCTAAAGTTATCTGTGAAGAATGGTTGCAGAAGTGTCTGCAGGAATAATATTCTCTCCCAGCTTTGGGACCATAAATGCAGTCCCAGAATGTAGATACCTTCCTGTTCTGGATCCTGCTGTCCTCTATGAGGAACTGCAGAGCAACTGAGAGCAGCAGCAAGCATGGTGGTGTCAAGATTTCACAGGCTTTGCTTATAATTACTTAAACAATTCCCTATGAGGAAGTCAATACGGTTTCCTTCGATCACACTTCAGTCTGCTGAAAACGCATGCCTTGTCTTTGCACACCAGCAGTAGGTAGTGTTTATGGGTTTAATGGTGCAATATTCATGGATGTCTGGCACAGTGACATGCCCCAGAGTGCCCGGAAAACACCAACTGACATGGCATTCAGCCACATGGCTGCCCTGGCACTGGGCTCTTTCTGTTCTTTCTTTCCCGGGTGGCAAGGAGCCATGCCCTACCACAATGCCTTCATTGTTGAAACATAAAGAACAAAACGCGCGTGTTTAGCCTGATCAGTACTGGAACAAATCACTTGTACTTATCAGATTGCAAGGTCTTCTCTGGGAGCAGAAATTTGGAGTCCTCAGAAACTCAAGCAAAAGAAACTCAAAGTAAAAAGCAACAGGCAAATCAAAATGCACTGAGACATGTTCACCTTTACGTATGGTGTTTCTTCACCAGTTGCTTGTTTTTGTAACTAAGTATTATAGAGCTAGGGCAACATGCATCCAGATATCCAAACCGGAGGAAACTTTCTTATCATTAACTACATACCTGAAATACTCATCCTTACTGCCTAAAACCAGATTTGTTCCTGTTAGGAAAGCAGATATGAACTAAAAAATTAAGAACTGCAACCTGGGAAAAGACTACCCCAATGCTCTCTCTTGTACCATTTCACTCTTGAGAAATTGCCAAAGGCCATTTGTCCATAATTACACCCCAGGAAGTTTCTTCTCATCCCAGCACTTCAGACATGACTCTGATACTGCTGGATTTAGGACAAAATACCCTAGCATGTCAAACTCTGACATAGATAAAAATCAAATAAATGTCATCTGCGTAAATGGTTGTCCCTTACTTAAATCCAGGAAAAGGATCACCTGATACAATTGCTGGTATCTGCGGTTCAGTGACCTTGGCAGTCTCCTTCAGTCTTATATTATTTCCAGGTCTCTGCAAACAGCTGTTTGATTTTTACTAACCATCTTCTGCATCTCTAAGTAAGCTATTATATGTTTTTTTTTCCCTAAGTTTTAATAATACTGAGTTTGGTGCCAAAAAGCAGAGACCAGTCAATTATGTTGCCTGCTGAGCTTGAGAAATAAGCTATTTATACCCCTCTTCAAACATAATTTTGCTTTTCTTGGAGTATAGTTTATTTAGTGTCACAAGGTCCCTAAAGTGAGCGGAGTCAAGACTTCATGGCCTTCCTTCTAGCCTTTCTAACCCTGCCAATTTTTTCTCATTTCCCAGCCCAACAATTCTGCTTTGATGCTTAGGGTCTCCACAGCTTGTCTCGTTAAGACTTCCTTTCTTCCTTCCTCCAAAACTAGCTTTTCCTGAGTCATTCAGCCAGCCCTAACCTTGGCTTTTCTCTTTCCAGGTAATCCAAAGGATCTTAAATGCCTTACTGGTTTAGCTGGGAGAGAGAAGAGAATTAGTTTTCCTACTCCACCCTAAATAACACTTAGATACCTTACTGTAAACAGGTCACTATATTTGGAGTGCCTATTTTGGTATTATCTGTAGTGTTCACAAAATCTTTTCAGTAAATACATCCATTTTTGCTCTTCAGCTGACAAAAGAAATAAGTAAAATAAAATAGTAAATATTTTCTGTTCTTATTTCTATTTTCTTATTGCTAGTCCTTTTTTATATTAACTCAGTAAAATTTCTCCAGTGCAATTCACAGCCTCCCTTTAGCACAAAAAAATTGCCATGCTAGGATATTTAGGGCATAATAACAGTTTCCATTGACATACACATGAAGAGAATCATTCCCCTGGCTTCTTAATGACTGGGTTAGGTCCTACAGGAAATAACTCCCTCTGGCTGTGACGTCTGAAAGACACCTTACCTTTTTTACTATCCTGGGATAAAAAAGAAGCATTCCTTACTGGTTGTCCTACTATACTAATTGGTTCCCTTCTGTTAGACAGATACTGTTTTGTTTGGAGATCTTCTCATTCCCAGCAGCTGGACAAGAGGAAATTGAGATTTGTGAGCAGATAGCCGGGGCTGTCTAGTACAGCCTGAAAGTCTTGCTATTGAGTTTTATAAGATTTTGTAACATGTATGTCTCAGTCAGACAGATTGAGGTACAGCTCTAAAACCTGCTCTGTGTATGTTAACAGATCTATCTAAAAATACCAAAAAAGTACAAATCACATCAACTGCATTTCCATGATCCCACTTCTTCTCCCTGAGATTTTTCCTTAAGGTTCTTCTGTGATTCACACCAGTGGTACAAAACAGTTGCTATTAATCTGTAGAAGATACAGAGGCAGAGAAAGCATGGGGAAGAAAGGAAGCATGGAAGGGTAAATCTTAATAAAATTATTGGGAAAAAAACACTGAAAAATTTGGGCAGAGCCAGTCTATCCAAGATGTAATAAGCAGTGATAAAGAGTAAAAAATAGGCTTACTGTATTGGTTAAGACAACATCAAGCACTGTAATTCTGTCAAGAGTGAAGATTCAGAACTCCAGAAAAAGATACTTTGTCAACTTCTGCTAACTGATGTTGTTTGACTGTGTTAAGATCTCCTTTGACAACAGGAGTTAATTCATTATCTGTGCCAACTGAGGTTAATGGCCCCCTTACAGCTGGAGGTAGTGGAGAGGGTTTTGAAAGAAATTAAGGGAACAAGAGAGTAATGTCCAAGCTAAGGCACGGACTAAGGAGCAGCTGTTAAGGAGATTGAGCAGTCCTCATATTCCAGACCCTTTCCCCATTTTCCCTAAGTTTTGTGCTCATTATGCCACTATTGCCATGGCAACAAGGGTGGGTGGGGTGAGGATTGAGCCTAATTCTTCAGCTGCAGCAAAAATTCTGTTCCCTACTAACCTGATTCGTGTTTGAACCAGTAACCCAGAGCTGGGAGGCTGCCTAGCTCATTAAAAATTCCCTGAGCTAGTTTTCTGACCTAGTTCCAAAACAACAGAGAAAGCTTTTCAAGCTGGTTTTTGGGATTCGTGTCATGAAAGATTCAAGTAGCATATGGATTATTTATTCACACAGGGGATTTAAAACTGATGTTTCATGAAAATAAATAAATAAATAAATAAACCCTGTTTTCCAGCACCATCTTTGTTTTACAGCTATCCAGCGGGCTAGTAAAGGTGCAGGTGGCGCGGGAAAACAGGAAACTGGGACAAGGTCTTAGGCATGATCTCAAGGACCCAACAAATCTAGTTCTAATGCCAAATTGTTTTAATGAAAGAGCTGATTTTACTTTCTACTTGCCTATGAAGGGCAAAAGGGCACATTTATTATCTCAGCTATTTTATTTGATTCTTTCTATATAAAGAACCTACCCATTCTCCATAATCAGAAATAATAATTACTTCCATATTTGCTCGTGCAGCATGCTGTTCATTTCAGAGTCAGATCCATAATAGATGTCACCAGGGACAGGTCCGCCGAAGACACACCAGCTCTCCTGATTCGTACTAGCTTCAGCTCTACTCCCCACTCTGTTAATGAAAATGAGCACAGGCTTGTGCTTCACCAAAACTATTGTTCTTGGCTTTGGGCTCTAGTTAGAAACCCCCTCCCACTGCAGTCGTGATGCATGTCAAAATCCTTTTGAGGAAGCCAAAGGTACAAATAGAAAAGCAATGTTGCCTTTGCAGACAAATCTCAAACAGGCAACAGCCTCTCTCCATGAGCTTCACGTGGAAAAAGGTGGGCTTTTTTCAGAAAATCTGAGTAGCAGTTGAACTCTTTGGCAGATACAAGGTCTCTTTTGTAGATACAGAATCAGAAACAGAAACACACCAAGCTCTAGTTTCTACCCCTTCCAGCGCTAGCTATTGAAAAACTAAGGTGGGACACGAATGATCAGAGAACAGAGGAATTTCACACCACCTGAAAGAGGTCAGAAGCACAAAGAACAGAGGCTCAGGGAAGCAGCAGTGATAAGCATGACATAAGGAATTGAGTCCTGCACAGGGACCCCAAGGGCAATGCTGCCTCTGTGGCCCACAGCCACACTCCCCTCACTCTCACGGCATCCCTGCATGCTCTCCCCCTGCTCTCCCAGCATCACATCTAGGTTTGCCTCACTCCTTTCTTTATGGATAAGACTTGTCTGACCTTGGAGGATAAAGGATTCAGCTTCTGAAATTTTCAGACTAGCAATAGCAAAGGAGCTGTGCAGTGGACCAGAACCCAGCAGTTTCCCAGCTGACAAAAAAGCTGATGTCTCATGCACTCATCTTGTAGTACAAAGATTCCCAAAAAGTCCAGCCAAGGTCATGTTATAACTTGGATAAACACTGATTGCTGCATCTGTGGGGAAAAAAAAACAAATAATCGGCCGTATCTTGCCAACCTTCTCAAGCAAGACAAATAAAAATGTCCATGTAGTTATAGGCCTGATAGCCTGAAACTAATGCCAGGTAAAATAGTCTGTGGCTGATCTGACAGTCAACTAATAAAAACTTAAAAGGAAGCAGTATATCTAATGCTGAACAAAGTGCAATTATGAAAAAGTAGCTTGTTATCCGTTGATAATATTACAAGATTGATTGCAAAAGCTCACTGTGGCTGTTGTAATAGACTCTGCAGGGTGTGTGATGCGGTGCGGCATGGCATTTTGATTAAGAGGCAAAGTGAATTAAAAACTGGCTGGTAGGTCTCAAAACGTAACCGGGGTTTTTATTTTAATGGTTGTATTTCTGCTGGTTCCCACAGAGATCAATTTTTAGCATTATACCATTTAAAACTCACCATTAACAGCATACAGAAAGGCAGTCATTTGCAAACATAAAAAAGGGGGGGGGGGCACTAATCAGCTATGAAGAAAACAGGTTTCTGATACAGAGCAACATGTATCTGTCAGTAAATGAGATGCAAGTAAATAATCTATATTTTGGTGTGGCCCATTATGAAACTATGTCTCTACAAAAGACTTCAAGTTAAGTCCTGGGGATGACTATAGCGGAAGTCGTGGTGCGTCATCTACTGAACATGAGCTTCAGAACGAAGATGGCAAAACCACCTGATATCATCTTTTATATCCCGATTATAAAAGCACAGAGCAAAAGGAACAGAGGCATTTGTGTCATGCCCACAGGGAGACTGCTGCTGAAATGTTTGTCCCTTTTGATGCCTACAAATTCAAGGAAGATGCTGGGGAAAATGCAGAAGATTCAGGAAGGAGCCACAGAAATTACTGATGGACTGGAAAACATGTCTCTTGAGAGAGAAATCAAGGAATTATTTAGTTTATTCAAAAGTATTTTGGCATGGGAGCTGTTCACTTTTTAAACATAGGGAACAGAGATATGACAATTAGGCTTCAAGCTAACAAACAAATTCAAAAGCTGGAAAATCAACCTGGCCAAATATATTTTTCACATGGTTTCCTGGGGATAGCGCAGTCTATGCAGTTGCGCTGTCTGTTCATCTTTCAGTTCCATCCCTTGTTTTTCCTACTTCTCTCCCACCCAGGCACATTTAAAATATCTTCAACATGTTTGCCCAGTTACAACCAAAGTTACTGAGGTGAGGCAGTAGGAAAACAGAAATCCCAAAGACACGACAAGCCAATAAGTGGCCTGACAACTGGGCAGAGCATTGTGCACATTCATGCTCTCAGAGGAAGGCAGCTGTGATTAAGCTTCACTCTGTCTAGCGCAGATGCCAGCTGGCTCATTCATTGCACACACACACCTACTGCCCAGTTAGCCAGTTCATGCCCCATTTTTCTTGTACTACATTTTTCTAAAAGACTGACCAGGAGTGTAACAAAGACCAAATCAGAGTAGTCCTATGGTTTGCATAGAAGATCAAGGTAGACATCCATGGTAGACTTTCTGCTCTTCCTGCCTCTGAATCATGACCATTTAATTTATAAAAATTAAGCCAGTGAAGAAAACAAAAGGGGGAAAAAAAGTTAACCAGTCAGCTTGTCCAAGGGAAACAGCCATGTCAGAGAACAAAGAGAAGTTTAAATGTCCCACTCCAGTTTAACAAGTGCCACGGGATCTGACTTTGTCTGGCTCCCCACTGGGATGGCTCAGAACTGTGTGAGTGAGGTTACTGGGGAAGTCAGAGGGGTAGCCATGGCATTGTCTCATCTGTGGAAGCCTTTAGCTGTCCGAGATGGAAAAGGGGGCTGTCCTGGCCCTCAGCTGCTATGTCACAGCAGCCATGAGCTCTACCACTTCTTCCAATTTACACTTAATTCCCTGGCTGGAAACTGCACCATCCCCTGCTATTCAGGCAACAGCTTGTGCGTGGGCACCTGGAGCCTTAACCATTGCACCTCGGGCTGTGGCTGCATGGTCAGTGCAAAGGCAGTTTGCCCTGGCCCACCCAGCCCTTAGCTTACTATCCCACCAGCTACACCAAGGCATGTACTGACCCTGGCACAGTTGCCCACTTCTCAGGCTGAAGTAAGGAAGCTTAGGGAGCACTTCCAGCTTGCTCACTCTTCAGCTGGACCTGGGTCACCAGAAAATGGCAGAAGCAACAGTACCAGAAGTACGCAGTAGGTGATGCAAGGGCGGAGCAAGCAGTTGGGGAATGCAGGAAGTCAAAGACGCTTGAGTCAGTTGAGGCTTGTCAATGCTGTCAGCCAAATCCACAGCCAAATGCAATTTGCAGTCCCCCTTGCAGTGAGCCCAGGCTGAACCCACTGCTTCAGTGACACTAGTCTGAGCTGCCCTGGTTAATGCTAACTCAGGCATAACTACAGAAATCTCAGCCCGACCTTACACTGTCATACAGGCATAGAATCATAAAATCATAGAATAGTTAGAGTTGGAAAGGACCTTTAGATCATCTAGTTCCAACCCCACTGCCATGGGCAGGGACACCTCACACTAAATTATGTCAACCAAGGCTCTGTCCAACCATTTGTCCATCACCAAGGTATGTCCTGTGAGAGTCTCATATACTGTAAGCAAGCTTTCTCCCTAGTGCATTTCATTTGTCCTGAATATTTTGCTTGAAAAACAGTCTCCACAGGAGGAAGAAAGCACCTTGGGTGGGGGGCTGTGGGGTAAGCTAGTGAGGAGCAGAGCCGCA